TATCTCATTTCTTCCTTTTTTTTTGTTCTGATATTTTTGCCTTGCAGAGAAGTTGTTACATTCAACCATTTCCTGGAAGCAGCAGCTGAGAAGGAGGTTCAAGGGAAAGCTCGACTCCAGGACTTCATCGAGAATCTGTTGCAGCGGGTAGAACTGGCGGAAAAGCAGTTGGAGTATTATCAGAGCCAGCAGGCCGCCGGCCTCTGCCGTGACATCACTGAGCATGTGGTGAGTCACACAGTCCAGCCACCAAGTGTGAGGTCCCTGTGTACGGTGAGACTGAACCGATGACAGCGCTGATGGAGCTGGGTGGTGATTTGCAGGGAATCTGTAGACACCATTTCAAAGCACTGCTTGGGCCATGCTTATGTTATGGAAGTGATACTGGTGCATCCAGGGCACTTGGAAGTACACAAAATTCTGGCTGCACCATCTCCACTTCTTTATTAGCTTCCTAGCCCAGGCCAAGCTGAATTGGTAAACATATTTTTATATTTGTATAACAGTGGAGGTAAAAGTATCCAAAGAAATAATCTCTCCCAGTCTTGGTGTTCAAGTAGGTCAGAAGTCATTATATTTTTTTGGATCATGGAGCACTTTAAGACAATCTTAGGAAAGCTTTGATTCTTCTCAGTAAAGCAAGATCCAGCCACATATACTTCTTTTATTTTCCTTAATAGGAAAGTAAAAGCCATTCAGTGGCTTCTATAGGTTAAACGTTCTTTATAGAGTCTTAGATTTGGAGAAATTCACAGATGATAGTTCTAGAATAGATTTTTGCATACAATTTTATATATAGTTTCAGGGACTTAAGAACCCCCTAGAATTGAATTGAGAACTCTGGATATGGATGAAGCTCCAAACTTCCATAAATGGCTTATTTAAGATTCCCTAGTCTCCTTAAAGATTACTGGTAATTTATTTAACGCATATTTATTGGGGGGCATAGCACTTATTGGGTGCTGAGGAAACAACTGTCAACAAGATAGATGAGGTCCATGGTCTCATGGTCCTTACAATCCAGTGAGGAAGGGGACACAATATATAAGTAAACAAATAAAGACTTCAAGACATCCCTTACAGATGTTTATTAGCCCATCCTTGGGAAGAATGGATACAGATGACCATGTTCTAGGTGAGACCGGTGGGTAGTCCTATTTGCTGTCTATACAATTTCTTTGGCAGTATAAACAACAAAGCCAAAGGCAAGACTTTAGGAGCCCCAGAGTAGTTTGTTTATAACATTTCCATTATTTATTGATCTTTACGTATGCTTACTTCCTTCCCAAAAGATTTTACAATGGTTATTTCTTTTTCCTCCCCCTCCCCCTCCCCCCCAATAGACTATACCCTAAGGCAAAGAAAAATAGGAAAAGGTTATTTATGCTAAGCAAAAGATTAATAAATGTTATGCTAAGCAAAAGGTTAATAAAATTGCTGCTGGTTTGATGACAAAATTTAGTTGTGCTTTCTGGAGGCTAAGATTAAAAGGAAACATGATTATGTAACAAAATGAGGTATTGGAAAGAAATGAAAGGAAGAAGTGAAATGAAAGGCAGGTAGATAAGAGAAGGAAGACAGGAGAAGGAGACAGGCAGAAAGGAGGGAGACAGTGGAAAGGAGGGGGGAGGAAGAAAAGAAATGAAGAAATTTTAACATGGAGCTTACTGTAACAATGTGCACTCAGCCTTAGAGCAGCCTAGTCATGTAAATCCCAGAACTTTCCAGTCAGGGACAAAAATAGGCTGAAAGGGAGTAAATTTGCTGTATCTGTGAGGTTTCCATAACTCTGTTCAAAGCAGTTTCATCTATATGGCACACTAATTGTTTTCATGTGTAGTTCTCTAAACTCTACTTTGTACCACAGAAGACTGTGGACCCTAGGA